TTGTCATTTGCATCCAGAACTATCACTTGGATACACAGGTTGCCAGAGCGAACAGGGTCACCACCATCAGAAGCAATGAGGACAAGCTGGTGAGTTTTCTTTTCCTCACGGTCCAGAGCCTGCTCCAGCACCAGCTCTGGGTACTTGGCCCCATCAGAGATGATCTTCACAGCCAGAGAGAAATAGTCATTAGGGCTGAGCTGGTAATTTTGCAGAGAGTTCATGCCCACATCTGGGTCAAATGCAGTCTTAAGTGGAAATGGAGTTCCTGGTACCGTAAGTTCACCAATTTTTATTTCCAATTCCTCCGTTAGAAAATCAGGAGCATTATCATTAATGTCTTGAATTTCTATTTCTATTTCAAAAATTTTCAATTTGTCTTCAACCAGGATGTTAAATTTTACCAAACACCGCGCGCTCTGAGCGCACAGCTCCTCCCGGTCTATCCTGCCCACGGTGACCAAGCTGCCACTCCGCGGGTTCAGAGCGAAAAGCTGAGTCCTACCTCTGGAGACGATGCGGACTCCGCGCTCCGCCAGCTCTCGGGGCTCCAGCCCCAGGTCCTTGGCGATGTTGCCCACGAAGGAGCCTTCGTCCAGCTCCTCAGGCACCGAGTAGCGGATCTGCCCGGATCCTGTCTTGCACAGCGTCCCCAGGAGCGCGCACAGCATGGCCAGTCCTCCTCCGTTTCTGAATCTCAGGTAATTGGTCATTTCCTTTTTGGTGAATTTTTTTTTTCTGAATTCGGTTCCAGTTTCCCCTGTCTGACTCCTCTTTTATTTTCTCAACGAACTGAGCCTTTCATGGGCCTAATTCATAGGTGACAGAGCTGGTTGACTGACCGTTCGAGCTTCGTAGCAGCTCCGGATCTTCTGAGTCTGATTTGCTGGCGCTTTGCTTTTTAGGAACAAGAAATGGTGGACTAGCTCTCTAGCAGCGATTTCGTCCTTGAGTGGTCAACAGCGACGCTCAGAGGCCTAACCGTTTACTGCACAATCTCAGACAAACTATTTTTTAAGTTTCCCAACACCTGAAGTCATTTTTATCAGAGGTAACGGGATTGGTATTTACCGTATTTCAAACGTTATTGAATTGCTTTATGTTAAAAGATGTGACTTCAAGTTATTTTCTCAGGAAGCCATACACTAATTTTAACATGACCAATATTGCTTCCAACATGCTGGAGTTACTGTTTTGAAATGTTCAGACAAAATTTAAGAACCACACAGAAATATCAGCCATGTTTATACGTATGCTTCCTGAAGTTTGTCCCTGATATCCTGACATCTTAGTTTCAATTTTATTTTATTTGGGAACAGTGTGTTTTTCCAGGACCCATCCACTCCAAGTCAAGTAGTTGTCTTCAATCTAGTTGTGGAGGGCGCAGCTCAGTGGCCCATGTGGGGATCAAACTGGCAAACTTGGTGTTATGAGCACTGTACTCTAACCAATTGATCTAACAGGTCACCCAGTTTCAATATTTTTATTTAACCCATTAATTAAACAAACATATAATTGGGTGTCAGGCAATTTCTGGGGATATCTGATGAATGATATAGATGCAGCCACTTCTTTCACAGAGTTTATGTATAAAAGCAAATAAGGAATTACAGTGCATTGCATTAACTACCACCATGGAAGCCAAGGGCTATAGGAGGGCCTGAAACCTGGCCTCGGAGGTTAGCAAAGTCTTTCCCAAGAAACATGGGAGGAGTGGATCAGGGAAAAGGCCTGGATGTGAGAGAACAGCATGGCAAGGCCTAGATGTGAGTGAGAATCACAGAACTTCATGGGACTAAAAATAATTCAGTCTTTAATTTTCCTCTTTTCATAATTTATTAATTAATCACAAGTAAAGATGTTATGATAACTCCACAGTGAGTTTCAATTTTATCTCAAAGAGAATTATGTAATAGTAATAAACACAATGGAATATATTATCTTAGATCAATTTTCCCTCAGACGCTCTTAAACATAATCACAGCACCTTGAAAGATGATGATACCATTAAATACAAGATTCAGTACATGATTACTTCCAAATAAAAAAAAATAAAAAATAAAAATAAAAAACTCCCGGTTACATAGAGTATTAGTGTATTCTTTCTTCTCTGTTATTAAATACATAGCTAACATACTAAAAGCCAACATGGGAAGAGGAGCGGGGAAGGAGAGCTGTGGGTGTGAGGGTGACTGAGGTTGGGTGAGGGATTGGAAATGTTTTAAACAGCTGCTATGAGTAGGAAAATTTGAAGAGAGAGATGCATAAGGAAAATCATTGTGGGGGCAATTATTTGATATAGTCTCTGAATCCCTTGAGGATATATGTCATTTTTAAAGAGAAAAAGGCAATACAATTTTGAGACATGAGAAAAATAAAAACATCAAATAGAAACGTGTTTACTATTACATTACTCATTTATTATAGTGCGAATTATAACTCAATCACTTCTTCAAGGACTACATAGCTACTTTAGAGGTGAATGAGATTTTTAACTAAGCAGAGATACTATAACAACTTCCTGAAACATGGTGAAGCATATGTATTTCTAAATTTTCATCTTTTAAATAGAGAAGGTCATGTAAATCAAGTAAAATGAAGAACCTCACCGCCAAACTGAAGGGAAAATGTTAAGACTGAGTGAGAAGGAACTAACCAACTAAAGTGTTTCATTATTCATAAACAAATTCAAATATAAAATAGAAAAGCCTTAAATTTTAAAAACACTTAAGTGAACGTACAATCAACCTTCATATTTTTAAGAGAGTAAGAATTGTTGACCCAAGTAGATGAGATGATTTGCTCAGGGATGGAACTGAAAGTATGAGAAACCAGATACCAGTTACTAATGCAGTGCTCTTTTCATAACCTAAATATCATCGTCACCTACTAACTCCTGATTTGTACTCATGGCACAATGATTCTAGTGCCTCTTCTTCCTCACAGTGTGTGAACACTTAGAAGTACCAAGAAATAATTCACCAGGACTCATTTCCTAAAAATTGAACATATTCCCAACGAAATAGGCAAAATAGAAGAGATATGATAAACAGTAGAGAAAGCTAAGTAAATAGGTAATTTTATTTATTTTAGTAATAGCTTGTAAGTATATTGTGAAGGGAATTTACCTGAGGAAATGTTTCTTCTCCTTTATCTTCAAGTAAAGACTGAGGTGCTGATAGAAAATCCTTTTTCTCACAGCTCTCCTGGCTGATGAGTGTGTCCGCGTAGTTGGGCTGTGGGAAGATCAGGTGACTCTTCCCCGAGTCCGCGGTGAGGGAGACCTCGTGGGAATAGGTCTGCAGGAAAGCCTGCACTCCGTCCACGCCGACTAATTGAGAGGGGATCACACTCGTCAATCTGCCCCCAGAAGTGTGGAGCAGACGTGACGTGTGCCAGCGCCTCAGTCTGAGCGCCAACAGCATGATGACAAAGGCTAGGAAGACACAGGAGACAGCTGCCACTGCCACCACCAGGTACAACGTCAGGTCCGAATCCTTAGGGTTGGTGGAGGGTTCGAGACTGCCCAGATCCGCCAGGACGTCCGGGATGCTGTCGGCCACCGCCACGGTAAGTGTGACGGTGGCCGAGAGAGGGGGCTGGCCGTGGTCCTGGACCGCCACCACNTGCAGCCCCACGGAGAAGAGCCCTGGCTCGCTGGCCTTGAGCAGGCGGTAGGACAGCCAGGCGTTCTGGCCTGAGTCTCTGTCCACTGCCACCACCTTAGTCACCAGGTAGCCCGGCTCTGCGGAGCGGGGCGCCAATTCCACTCCAGTGGAACCGTCGGTGGGGAGGGCAGGGTACAGGATCTCAGGTGTGTTGTCGTTTTGGTCCAGCACGAACAGGCTCAGAGACACATTGCTGCTGAGTGGAGGGTCCCCACTATCCCTGGCAGTCACCAGTAGCTGCAGGTCTCTAATCTGCTCATAGTCGAAGGATCTCAGAGCATAGAGGACTCCAGTGTCGGAATTGATGGAGAGGTAGGTGGAGAGAGGCGCCCCATGGACAATATCCTCAGTCAGTGCATAAGTGATACCGGCGTTCTCTATCCTGTCGGGGTCCTGGGCAGTGACAGAGAAGATGGAGGCTCCCCTGGGGTTGTTTTCAGGAATGTAGGCAGAATAGGAGGCATGAGTGAAGGCAGGTGGGTTGTCATTGATGTCTGCCACATGCACGGTGATGTGAGTGTCTGTGGACAGCTGTGGACTTCCCCCATCTGTTGCTCTCAGAGTGATGTTATATTCAGAAACCTGTTCACGGTCCAGAGACCTGACTGTCACTAAGCGGTAATATTGGTCTATTGATTTTTCCAAATTAAATGGCATATTTCCAAGGACAAAAACTGTAACTTGCCCATTTTGCCCAGAATCCCGGTCATGCACATTTATAAGGGCGATTTCTCTTCCAGCAGCAGCCTTTTCTGGGACTGAGCCAGTGAAAGAAGTGATTGTAACTTCTGGGGCGTTGTCATTCACATCCAGAACTGTGACTAGAATCTTGGCTCTTGAAAGGAGACCTGGTCCATCTTGCGCTTCAATTTTAATTTCATAGAACATAGCATCCTCATAATCTAGACTTTTTAATATGGATAGATCTCCAGTCACTGAATTGAGATAAAAAATCTGAGCAATTTTCCCAGGCATTTTATCTAGTATATAGGACACTTGAGCATTGAAACCCTCGTCAGGGTCAGTGGCATTCACGGTGAGCAGCCGGGTTCCCACTGGCAAGTTCTCCTGAACACTTACTCGATACTCAGGCTGAGTAAATACTGGTGGNGAGTTGTTTCACTGATTTTTAGCTCCAGTTCCTCTACTCCAAAGAGAGGTGCATTATCATTAACATCTGTTATTTCCACCTCTACTGAATAAATAGTCAGTTTATCTTCCAGAAGTATGTTAAACTTCACTAGACACCGCGTGTTCTGGGTGCAGAGCTCCTCCCGGTCTATCCTGCCCGCGGTCACCAAGCTGCCGCCTCGCGGATTCAGCGCAAAGAGCTGCGTCCTACCTCTGGAGACGATGCGGGCTCCGCGCTCCGCCAGCTCCCGGGGCTGCAGACCCAGATCCTTGGAGATGTTGCCCACGAAGGAGCTTTTGTCGATTTCTTCTGGCACAGAGTAGCGCATCTGCCCAACTCCAAATTCCCACAGGGCAGCCAAAAGAAGACACAGCAGGACCAGCCTTCTGCGTTGTGGCAACTTTTGCAGAACCGCCATTTCTTCTGCTGCAGCCTTTTCTCCGAGGCAACTTCCAGCATCCAGTGCGGGATTCCAATCTTTATTCCTCAGGGTCTGGGGTGACCAGCATTCACGGGATCCAGGTCACCGTGGAGAGAGCTAGTGGGCCGCTGAACTAAATTTCTTTGCCGCCCCGGAAGCTTGCCTGCCAAATGCCCAGCCCTCTGTGTTGTGGGAGTCGTAGTGTTGGATTGGATGTCTTGCAGGCTTTTACTTAGGTGGTCAACAGCGACGCTCAGAGGCCTAAGTAATGTCTGCACCCTAACGGGCAAACCCGTTGTTTGTTGTTTATATCAGCCTTGTGACTTTCAAGCTGCTTTGAAGAATCTTACAGTTCTAAGATACCTTAGAAGTAGCTCTTTCAAGTCGGGAGTCTTTCTCTCAGAATTAATAAGAATGGTGTAAAGGAATGTGACCTTGATAGTGGTTGTTAGGCAAGTATTATAGAAGTTCAAGGCATTAATCAAGGTTGCCACGGCCCTTGCTTCAAACATCTTCAACCTCATATTTTATATTCAGAGACAATAAGATCAATTTAAAAGCACTAGCTACATTATCTTCTACAGTTATATATTCTGAATTTCTGTGCTCAATGGCTTAGCATTTAACTTCAAGACCTGTATTTAAATTATTGAATTCTCACACACTTAATTGAGTGACTATCATGTGGCTGACACTTTGCTTGATTGATGCTTGAGGTAGAAATGGTGAACCTGATTATCACCGTCCCTGCTCTCAGGAAGCTTACAGGATAGGGGAGGACATAGGAAAGTAAACAGAGTATTATAATGAAGTATGATAACTGCTATGATGGTGGGAAACACTGGGAAATGGGGGAAGACAGAGGAAGGGTATCCAGCCTAGATTTGGGGGTCAGGAAAGACTTTTCCAGGACATGATTAAAACTGAATTCTAAAGGGTAGGATTAGATCCAGAAAAAGGTTAGAGTAGTGTTCTAGAACCTCAGTACAAATGCTTGGAGGTGAGTGGCACCATGGAACACTAAGGAGACAAGGGAGGGTTTTTCCACATGGAGAATAAGTCAGTCAAAATTGTTAGAGCTTGTCAAGTCCTTTTCCTGATGCTTAGTGTTTTTTGAGCATATAAAACACAGTGCATTGGGAGTCTTTTCACTCCTATTTCTTTGTAATGTACTTAAGAATAATACATGTGTTACTTCAAAATTTTTGAAATATTTCAAATATACAGACAAGTATAGAGATTAATGTAATGAAAATCTGTGTACCAACGAGTACTATTTAACATTGATCAAATCTTAACATTTTGCCACATTTAATTGAGATTGTTTTTTAAACATTTTATTTTGAATAATTTAGACTTATAGGAAGGTTGCAAAACTAATACAAAGGGTTTCCATATACCTGTCATCCATATTGCCCCAAATGTTAACATTTTGATTTCATGCTCTGTCTCTCAATCTCTATGAACTATTTCCAAGTAAGTTGCAGACATGATGTTCCTTTACTTCTAAATACTTCACTTTGTATTTCTTAAAATCAATAACATTCCCTTATCACCAAAATATGATAAAGTCAGTAAATTGGAATTGATATAATTCTATTATTTTATATGTAAATGTTAGTCAAATTTTGCCCATTGTCACAATAATGTCCTTTTATAGCAAAAGGGAAAAAAATCTGGTCTAGGATCCAATCCAGGATCACACATTACATTTCATGATTTCTCTTTAGTTACACTTAATCTGATACAGTTCAGCAGCCTTTTTTTATATGTCATGACTTGACACTTTTGAAGAGTAGTGGCCAGTTATTTTGTAGAATGTCCCTCATTAGGGTTTGTCTGATGCTCATGATTAGATTCAGATTATGTGGTTTGGGGTAGGAATGCTACAGAAAGGTTGTTGTAGCCTTCTAAGTGCATCTCATTAGGGGGCACAATATATCTTTGTCCCATTACTGCTGATGTTAACATTGATCGCTTGGCTAAGGTGGTGACTTCTAGGTTTCTCTATTAATGTCTCTAGAAAAGTTACTGTTTTCTCTTTGTATTAAATTAGTATTTTGTAGGCAGATGCTTTAATACTACGTAAATATCATGTTTCTAAATAAGCTTTCACTGTTGACAATTCTGGCCTGAAACAATTATTACTATGGTTGTTGGAGATCAATTTCTAAAAACAAACCTACAGACAGGGACAAATCCCTCTGGTACCCTTCCTTTAAAACAGTCCTATTCCTGCCTCCATAGAGGTAATCACCATCCAGAATAGAGCATTTATTATTCCCACGCATGTTTTTTTTTACTGCATATACATGTATCCATAAACATTTTGTCTGTTTCAAATTCATACAAATAATAGCATGCTATAATTATTCTGCAATGCACTCTTTCCTCAGTGTTCCAATTTGAGACTTATTTTTGTTGATAATGTTTTCTTTAACTGTTATATAATACTCCATTATGTGAAAAAGGTTCAAATTTATTTTCCTATATCTGTAGGAAGATATTAGGTTATTTCCTTCCTTTTGCTTCCCTCTCTACCTCCCTTTCTTCCTTCTTTACAGTTGCAAACCATGAGGCAATGAACCTTACCAGACATGTCTCCTCATGTACACATGTCTCTATGTGTGGGATATTAACCTGAAAATGGAATTGCTGGGTCAAATTGTATGTATATCACTTCAGTTATCAAAAAACCACCCCAAATTTAGTGTCTTAAAATGACATGGTTTCACTTGCTCAATAATTTTCAATCTGGGCTGGGATCATCTCTTTCAGTTCTGCCGGTCTTGCTGGTGGTTACTGACGCAGCATCACCTGGGGACCAGGCTCAGCTGGCGTGCTGAGACAACTGGGCGACTCTCTTTCTCTGCTGTCTCATGTTCCACATGGCTTTGCCATGCATGCTTTTTTTCATGATCTTAACAGCAGAGTAACTGGACTTCTTTTTGTTTAGTTGTGGTAAAATATATGTAACATAAAATTGACTATTTTAACCGTTTTTAGGTCTATAGTTCTGTGGCATTAAGTATATCAGATTGTTGTGCAACCATCACCACCGTTCACCTTCCCCAACTGAAACTCTGTACTCATTAAACACGAACTCCCCATTCCTCCCTCCCCTCCACCCCTGACAACCACCATTCTACTTTCTGTTTCTATAAATTTGACTACTCTAAGAATTTCACATAAGAGGAATCATACAGTACGTATTTGTCCTTTTGTGGCTTGCTTATTTCACTTAGCATAATGTCTTCAAGATTCGTTCACGTTGTAGAACGTGTCAAAGTCCCATCCTTTTTAAGGTTAAAGAGTATTCCATTGTGTGTACACTCATATACCACATTTTGTTTATCCATTCACCTGTCAGTGGACACTTAGGTTGCTTCTAGTTTTTGGCTGTTGTGAATAATGCTGTTATGAATGTAGATGTATAAATATCTGTTCACGTCCCTGCTTTCATTTATTTCATTATATATATATATATATATATATATATATATATATATATCCAGAAGTGGAATTACTGGATCATATGATAATTCTATGTTTAATTTTTTAAAAAGAATCACCACACTGTTGTCCACAGCAGTGACATCATTTTACATTTCCACTTACAATGCACAAACATTCCAATATCTCCATATCAACACTTATTATTTTCTGTCTTTCTTTTTAAATAATAGCCATCCCTAATGGGTATAAAGTGGTAGCTCTTTATGGTTTTAACTTGCATTTCCCTAATGATTAGTGGGGTTGAGCATCTTCTCATATATTTATTAGGCATTTGTATATCTTCTTTGGAGAAATACAAAGGGTGCCCAAAACATGTATACACATTTTTTTGAAAAGTTTTTTTACATAAAATTTTTAATTGGGGAATAGTGTGTTTTTCCAGGACCCATCAGCTCCAAGTCAAGTAGTTGTTGTTTCAATCTAGTTGTGGAGGGTGCATCTCTGTGGCCCATGTAGGAATCAAACCGGGAACCTTGGTGTTATGAGCACTGTGCTCTAACCAACTGAGCCGCCCCTGTATACACATTTTAAGAAAGGAAAAAACGATTAAAATTGTAATACTCAATATATACCAATAACAAAAAATAAATATAAGTCGCATTTGACTTCTGCAATTACAAGAGGTGCTCAAAGTAGTTACCATCAGCGTCCAGACATTTCTGATTACGGCGAACTACTGCTTGAGCAACGTGGACCAGTGTCCACTTATATACACTTTGGCACCGCCAGTATTTATTAAAGTCCTTTGCCCATTTTAAAATTCAGCTGTTTGTTTTGTTTTTGTTAACTTGTAGGAGTTCTTTTTTTTTTTAAGATTTTTTTTTATTGGGGAATTGGGGGATGGGAACAGTGCTGGGGAATTGGGGTAAGGAGAACAGACAAGTTGCTGTCCTTTTATTCTTCAGTCTAGTTTGAGCTGTTGTTCAGCATCTTAGCTGTGGAGGGCAGTGTCACTGGCCCTCATATGTGGGTTCTGAACCGTGGCCCTCTGGCGTCCCAAGCCAGTTCTTAACCATCGCGCCACTCGGCCGGCCCTAGGAGTTCTTTACATATTCTGTGGATATCAATCCTTATCAGAGATATGATATGCAAATATTTTCTCCCATTCTGTGAGCTGCCTTTTAACTGTCCTTTGATGCACAAAAGTATTCAATTTTGATAAAGTCCAATTTATTTTTCTTTTGTTATCTGTGCCTTTAGTGTCACATTCAAGAAATTATTGCCAAGTCCAATGTCATAAAGCTTTCCCCCAATGTTTTCTTCTAGGAGTTTTACAGTTTTAGCTCTTTTGTTTAGGTCTTTGATCCATTCTGAGTTAATTTTTATATATGGTGTAAGGTACGGGTTCACTTTCATTTTCTTTTTCTTGTGGCTATCCTGTTTTTTCAAAACAATTTGTGAAAAGACTGTCCTTTCCCCACTGAACAGTATTGGCATCCTTCTTGAAAATCATTTGACCATATATGTGGCTGTTTATTTCTGGGCTTTCTATTCTATTCTACTGGTCTATATGTCTGTCTTTATGCTAGTTACCACACTGTTTAGATCACTGTACCTTTGAATTAAGTTTTGAAATCAGGAAGTGTGAGACCTCCAACTTTGTGCTTATTTTTCCGGATTGTTTTGGCTATTCAAAGTCCCTTGAGATTTCATACAAATTTTAGGATGATTTATTTTTTATTTCTGCAAAAAAAAGTCACTGGGATTTTGATAGGGATTGCATTGAATCTGTAGATTGCTTTGGGTAGTTCTCTAAGTTTTTGATAGATACTCTTTATTTTGAAGAAAATTTCCTTCAATTTTTTAGTTTGCTAAAATATTTTAATCATATGTAGAATGCTCTCAAGAACTTTATTATGCCTTTATTGAAATGAACATATGGCCTTTTATCTTTAATCTCTTAATATGGAGTTTCATGTTATTAGATTGAAGGATATTATTGAAATATCTCCGCATCCCTGAAGTAAATCCTTAGTCATAAGCTGTAAACATTTTAAAAATATATAGTAGACAGGATTTGATGTTATCTTAATCAAGATATTGAATCAACATTCTGCTCTCACTTACAGCTGTTTGCCTGTTGAAGGCTTCTTCCCTGTTGAACTTTTTTTATTTTTACTTTTATCCAATCCTCTGAGAACATTGATGAAATATTTATTGGCAACAATCGCTATCAACTCACCATGTTTTTTGGTAGAGCCTTTAGTTTTTAAAAACTTTTTCATTAACATAGTTTTGATGCTTTTGAGTCTCATTAAATAACTGCTCACATCCTCATTGTAATTCTCTCAAGATTTATCTCTGTTTCTTTGTCTTTGACAATATTGTCTTTGACAATATCTAGTTTAACTCTGTATATTATTTCCCACTTATAATTCTTGCTTCAGACCAAGTTGTTTTATTTTTCCCAGTCTGTCTGATTTTTCTTCTCTTTCTCCTTTTCCAGGTCTTTGTCTTTGATTAGAATTCTGAGTTTTCCTTTAGGACCATTAAAAAGAATTTTAGTCATGGCCTAGCCTGTATTAGTCCCAACGTTGGAATTGACAGAATTTTCATTTTCTTACCATTGGTTTCAGTATGAGCTTTATTGTCTGCTTCTATTGCTTCATCATCAGAATTCTTCCTTGTTTGCATTTTAATAATTTATACTTCTATCTTTGTTATTTTTCTCAATATTTTCTTTCAGTTTATGCTACTGTGTTTTTTTGCCTTGTTTCTTGAATGACAAGCTAAATTCATTTATTTTAAATCATACATTTGTTTTTTTCTATTATTGCATTTGTTTATAAATTTACCATCAAATACTGTTTTATCTGCATTCCATAATTTTTAATAAATATCTTAATTTTTGTTTGTTTTGAAATAGTTTTCATTTCCATCGCAATTTTTAAAATCCAAGAGTAACTTGGGGGTGTAGATTTAAGTGTCCAAACTTTTTTGTTTCCTTTTGCTATTTTTAAATGTTTGTTTTTTATTTTTTCCAGCTTTACTGAAGTATAATTGACAAATAAAATTGAAGATATTTAATGTATACAGTGTGATGATTTCATATACATATGTATTGTGAAAGGATTCCTCCCGAATTAATTAACACATCCATCATTCACATATTTACCATTTTTATAAGAATATTTAAGTTCTACTCTCTTAGTAAATTTCCTTTATCCAATACAGTGTTATTAACTATAGTGTCCACCATGTTATACATTAGATTCTCAGACTTTATTCATTTTATAATGAAAGTTTCTACCTTTTTACCAACCTCTCCTTATTTCTCTTATCCCCTAACATTGTGATTTAAGTACATGTTATAAGGCATGTATATTATTGGTACTTTGAAATTTGCTGTGCTTTTTTGTGATGACTATGTAGTAAATTGTTGTAGATTTTTCCATATGCTCATGTGAAGAATGGTTATTTTATATTTGTTTTGTGTGTATAGGATTCAATGGAGATCTATTCAATTAGTCTTATTGATTCTTCTGCATGCTTAGTAATTTTCTGCCATGGGATCTATTGTTTCTTATGTAATTGAGTTGAAATCTCCTGGTATTATTTCTAGAGCTATATTGTTTGGTGATGGGAGCTCATAATTTTGGACTGTCCTTTTTCTAATTATCATCAGTTCATTTTTTAAAAATCACCACTAATGTCATTGCATTGCATAACTACTTTGTTGTTATACTAATATTGACATGACTGTATACTTTGTCAATGTATGTGAATTACACTGGAATATTGAAAATAGAGGTATATATGCTGTATATCCTTGCTCTAGCATGTATCTTGTCAGCAGAATATAGATGGATTTTTAAAATCCTCCAACTTGGTAATATCTTTGTTTTAATAGGTAAACTTAGCTTATTTATACATACTCAGAAGCAAAATTTTAAGAGCAGATAAAAATTTAAATTATAATACGTTCTGTTATTGAACATATACAGAAAATTTCTCATTAGAAAAAAAATTCTAAAAGACAACGTGTTTCAACATTTTGGTTTGTACATTTATTTTAAGTGGAAGAGCCTTCCCTCCCCTATCCTACTTCCTCTCCTTCTCCTCTTCCCTCCTGGGTTTGATGTTTTGAATATCACAGCTCATGTCTGAGAGACTCTGTTCATTTTCTGAAACCAGAATCTGTGTCTACCATTCTCCCTTGGTCTTCATCTTGCAACAGTTATGACCACAGGAATTGGTAGGCAACATTTTTATGTGATTCCCCCCCCC